TCGACAGAGAAACGAGAATGCTGCTCCCGATATTTTTCAATGTATTTTTAGGCAAAACACTGCTTTTAAAGAAACTTAGGAATTTCTAGCGACCTGCCGTACTTTATCCTATAGTACGGCTCTTTGTGAATCCAGTTTTTCTACCCTTACTAGAATTGATAGACCTCAGCCACCTCAGCGGAGGTCAATGTTACATCCGAGACTGGAAACCTTACCCATTTAGCATTTGAAAAAGAGAACAAAAAACATAAATATTGAAAATCTGCTGGTTGAGTTTATTAATTTAAAAAATAGGAAATTGCAATTATTCTGAAAATTAATAAAAAAAATAATTTTTTGACTCTTTGGCATATTTAATGCCGCTTTTACTAACTCAACCCCTCAACCAGTTAGATGTTCTTTGGAAAAGACGTTTTATATTTTTTTGTTGTAGAGTGTATTCTTTTGTTTAAACAAAATGTTTTTTATTGAATAAATATGTGTTTTGTAATTGCTTTTTTTTAATACCCTCCTCGGAGGAAGGAATTCAAAACAAAAATGCATGTCTTTTTGCAATTTTTATTCTCTAATAAAAAAAATGAAGCCCCCCCAAGATTTTGTTTAGCCCCCCCTGAAACATGGGGCTAGCTACGGCCCCGATACATACTAGGTCTGTTCAGTCTGTTCGGATTCTTCAAAAGTACATTGAGAACTTATCAGAGAACTAGTTGATAAGTGGACAATTTAATAGATGTATGCGATGAATAATTTGGAATTGAACTGTTCAACTGGTTCTCGGACGGTTTGCATCGAGTTTTAAAGAAACCCGAACAAACCTACTGACGTAGCACATGAACTAGAAGTTGTTTCACGTTAGTCTAAAATGTGAAGCGATCGTGTACCCATGGCTACTGATAAAGTATATTTACCGTATTTTATACGAATTTCAACAAAAATGCTACAGAATCATGTACAAATTTATAAAAAGTGTTTGGTGGAGGTACAGTTTCTGAGAGAACAAGCAGAAGATGGCTAAAAACATTTGAAACAGGTGATTTTGATCTTTCTGATAAGCCACGTTCTGAGCGACCATCTTTGATCGTGATGTTGTTAAGGCTATGTACCATTTTGGGAAAATAGGATTAGTGTGGAAATATTAAAGATGGGTGCCACGTGAATTAAGATTGTAAGGAAAAGAGCATACTGTGAACCCGGAAAACTTAGCCTTTCAACCTCTAAACCAAATTTGATTGTGAATAAGAGAATGTTATGTATATGATAAAACATTCGAGAACCAATACATTATAAGCTTTTAAAACCGAAAGAAAAGCTCAATTCATAGAAGTATTGTCAGCAACTAGATAATTTAAAATCAGCAGTCCAAGAAAAGTGGCAGGCGATGTTCAATAGGAAGACCATCATAATGCATCATGATAATACCAGGCCACATGCTGCTTTGGGGATTCAAAAATTGCAGAACTAGGTTGGAAAATTATGTCGCATACACCATAACGTATGGTCCTAAAGTTTTTGGAAAATTTTTAAATGCTAATAAATTTTTCCAAATTTTTTTAATTTTAAAAGCACATGTGGCAACAATTAACAATACTAATAACGAAAAATAATTACTAATTACATTATGGATAGTGGCCCGTTATCCTCAATGAGTCGTAATTTTCTTCGGACTTGTCCCATCTTCTTTTGGAAGATGCGACGCCGCAATTGATCTTCATTTGTAGCTTCCCATCCTTTATCGTACACTTTCCTCGATAGTATTGACCACAATTCCTCTATTGGCCTAGCCTGAGGTACATTAGGAGGATTGTCCAACGTAGGTACAAAGTCAATGTTATTTTCACTTAACCACTGTCTGGTAATTCTAGCATAATGGCATGAAGCTAGATTAGGCCAAAACATTATATTATCGTTGAGATGATGTGTATTTAAAAAATTAAGTAATTTAGTAAGACATCTTTGAATATAAAGTTCTGCATTTAAGGCTTCTCCCCGAACACGACCAACATACGGCTGTGAGATAAATCCTGCTTCAGAAATGGCACACCACACTAAAACTTTATCCTCAAATTTCGATTTACCTTTAAATTTAACATTGTCTGGTGTATTTTCTATGTTATCGGTATAAAACCCATCGTTTCCTTTAATCTCTGAATGGGATAAGGTAAAATATTTTTCATCATCCATTACAATCAATTTATTGGCAAAGTGGATACGCCTTAATGCGCGGCAACAACGCGGAATTCTTTCTAGCTGGTCTGCGGTGTATTTTGGTGCCTTTCTTCTTTTCCTAAACACTAAGTTTGTGCGATCAATTGTTCTTAATACAGTGGTTTTCGAAATACCAAATCTCCGGGCTAATTTTCTCTGAGAAACTCCAACTTTGTCTTTAGCAGCTTCCATCAGTCTTCTTTCTCTTCTTACACTCAAAATTCTTGGTCTACCGCTTTTGGGTAAATTAATGCATGGTATACCCTCTTCACAATTCCTTATAATAGTGTTGTAAATAGTTGACTTACTTATATTTTGCTCTTGGTAGATTGCAACAATATCATGCTTAGGTATTCGTCCAACTAGATTGTAAATGCCCTTACGAATATCTAATTTGTAAGACATTTTGCTACAATCGATTTCCAAAACTAAACTGTCATAATCAAACTTGATTACGTGTGACGTTATAGTTTCAATGGCAACTTGATTAAACGACATTGGGTACAAAAATAAATAATTTAAAAATTTTCCAAAAACTTTAGGACCATACGTTATTCTCCAAACTTAGCACCCTCCGACTAGCATTTGGTTTTGTCATTACATTTTTTGAAGGGCAAAAAAATCAAAAATAAATCATACAAGCACTATCAATATCAATCTATATTAAACAGTGAGGAGGTCAACTCAAAACTTAATATTAATTGTAAAGTAACATATTAAGAGTTTACATTTTAAGTGGCATCTCAAAAGATGACGAAACAAATGATAACTCAATTCAATTGACAATAGTCAAAAATGAGGTATACAGATTAGGAAGAAACAAAATTAAAAAATAAAAAAATGCCAAAAGTTCTTGAAGTAGTTTAAAATAAATTATGCAGTTTTTTTGTTCAATTAAGTTTGTTTTTAAATTTTCATCACTGGTACTTTAAATTTTCTTATGTCAGTTGCAAGCAAGTGGAACATACATCTGTTCTTGTAAGTCCCAAATCCTAGATTATAGCTTGTATTAATAAAACACAACAATATTATGCAATTATTGCAAACTAGAATATATTCTATTTCTGCTTTTTTATTTTAATGTAATTCAATACCTGGTAAGGTATTAGCCAAATGCAAAATTATTTGATTTTATTTTAATTGCATAAGTTTCCTTACAAGACTGAAGGATGGGCAATATTAAGCACTAGGACTTACGTCTAGCAATTAGTCTTATCTAAATTATTTATTAAATGCTTGACGTATATTATCTTTTAGCTCTTCTAAATTTTGAGGTGCAGGATTATAAGCTAAAGCTTTAACATATCCCCAAATAAAATATCTGGCACTGTTAGGTCTGGCGAATTTGGAGCCCATTCAACTGACCTACCAATCCAGTTATTACCGAATTTATTAGAAACTGATTGACGAGAAATCAGTGAATAATGGGGAGGTGTTCCATCTTGTTGAAAATAGATTTCATGTAATTCTACATCCTGGTCAATTTGTGGGTAAAAAAATATTCCTAACATGTCCGTATAAATTGGACCGGTAACTGTTTTTTCGGCAAAAAAAAATGGTCCGTAAATTTTGTATTTACTCACAGCACACCAAACATTCACTTTAGGAGATTCTCTTACACTTTCATAAAATTTATGTGGATTCTCTTCACTCCAAATTCTACAATTGTGTCTATTGACGGCTCCATTAACATGGAAACTTGCTTCATCAGACATTATTAAAAGGAGCTCAGGATTGTTTCTTATCAAGTCCAATAATGTCTCACACATATAAATAGACGTTTCTCTTTGTCTCTCTCGTAGAATTTTTGGTGTGATTGAGTTTTGTAAGGTTTCAGTTTCAGTGCTTGTAAGATTCTATGAACTTTGGATCTACTCATATTAAAATGTGACGCTATTTTTCATGGTATCATATAAAAGATTATCATGGCCGATATTTCTTTTCAGGCTAGTGATCCATTATTTTTGAAAATGTTAAACCACTTCATTATTGTCTTGTATGTCGGTGCTGTTTTATTAAATTCTCTAAAAATCTTCGTCTTGTTCGCATAATAGATTTTGTTTCAGCAAAATTAATTATGATACTTGCCTTTTCTGTTTTAGAAAATAACATTTTAATGTAAAAAGAATCACTTGAAATATTAGTCTAAACTTTTAGAATAGTTAAAACAACAATTTTTACACTTCTTACAAACGTACCAAAGCCTATAAAATTATTGATGAGAGTTATTGTTAATTATTGATTTTGCAGGCTTCTTCAGAAAATTTAATTGTTCAGTCATTTCTTCATCGATTTCAAAAAACTTTATATCGCCATTAAAAAATATACGGGGTGTTCCATAAAGAAAAATTAACAAATACGTCTTTAAAAAACCGCCATTTTGTTTTTCAGTAAACCGAAAGAGCACAATAATTTTGGATTGACCGAAATAAAACTTAATAAAACGGCATGTTTTTATGTACTTTCGTTTAAAAGTTATAAGCTTGCTAAATTTTGGAAAATATAATGGGACACCCGGTATAACAATTCAGTGGTTGTTTTAATTTTTATTTCATACCAGTTTTTTGCCTTTGAAAAAATAATTACCGTCTACCGATGATCTGTCCCGTACCACTTAAGGAGAATAAAGAATTTATATTAATCTTGAAAAATTAAATTCCTAGTACCCTAGTATAATACCTTGTAGAACACCATACTCAATTAAATGAGTATTACTTGATATACAGATGTGTCTGAAATTAATCAGACACACAAATATTATATCATAAAAATAATTAATTAAAAGTTACACTCACTGTGTCACCCTGGGAAGTTCACCATCCATGTCATCGATATCGTCACTAGCTGCTTCCGTGACAGTGCTAGTTTGACTCGTAAACACTGCTCCTCTCACACTTTCCCTCTCTCCTCTACGTATTCTGCTCGGCGGTGGGGTTCCTTTAATTTAAGAACATCATTAAATAATTTGAGGTTATTTTAGGATTTAATAATACCAGCAGAAGAATAAATAAATATTAGAAGCAGCATAAAAATAAAGATCCATGAAAAAGTGGATATGACTTTGAACATAAGTGAATGCTATGGAAATTGTTTGTTGGTGCCTAGAATTTATGCAAAAAAACAGCTGAGCTTTTAAAAGATTTTTCCTAGGTTTCGAGAGGCAGGTAATACATCAAATAAAATAAAGTTAACCCTGTGTCACACACCTAAATAATTTTAACAAAATTCTAAAAATTTGTGTGGATGACTTTTAAGCCCCAAATTATATATCTATATTGTCCCGATATTAATTTTTTGTCTATAAAGCAAAAGTTTGATCAGGTTGCTTCAAGGCATCATTGTTGTTTAGTGGTAAACTTAGAATATTGCTTTAAGGCAACATTGATCATTTGAGTTCTAATTTTTTGCACGTGTCAAATGGAGGAAACACTAGAAAACAAAAGTAATTTTTGTAGCAATTAATTGCAGATAAACTCTCAAAATGCATAAAACTGAAGTTTAGGCTGTTCACAATTGTGCCATTAGGACTATTGGGTAGGCAACCCTTATTCCGAGAGGTATAGGGTTTGACTAATTTCAGCTAGACTAGCGCATGGTTCCGATGACGAAGTTGTAACAAGACGGTTGTGGCTTGTAGGCAACGATGTTGCATTGCAGAAAATATTATGGCTAATACAAAAATTTAGGTGTTTGAAATCAACGTTCCTCTCAAGCTACATGCACGCTCAGAGAGTAAAACAGTAATTAACAACAAGAAAAATAAACAGACGCGTACTGCAAATCTTTTATATCTGAATTTGTATATAGAGGTTTTATATGCCATATACATTCGAGGTCTGTTCCAACAACGATCAGAAGCAAACTACAATTCACCGCGCATTGCGCAGTATATAATTTAGCAGTTTCAATAATCTACTGCGCAGAATCCTGGTGTCAGTTTCAGTCTTAGAACGTATTCAATATTTGCTTGACGTCTTGAACATTCAACAAATCAGTTAACTATAATATCGCTTCTCATATTTTCTTCCCACCTTTTGCTGTATCCAGTTATATTTTTATAATTCTCTGCTCTAACTATGGAGCAATGTACTCTTACCATCACGCTCTTTCTGTTATCTTTAGTTTTCTGAATATGTCTTTACCTCAGATCTTCTATATCCATAGAAATCATTAAAAGTTCATATTTACAGCAATAATGTTACTCTGATGACAATTACACGACTCCGCGCGTTTGGAATAGAACTTGATATAGGATGTAGTGAGGCAAGATGTTGCTTTTGGTAAGAGGCCCTCGATATGCTTTAGGCGAACATGGACTTCATATCACCGAAATATATTTTTTATAAGCCATACAAAGTTATAACGAAAGTGGTTCAGGATGTGGAATATATTCCAGATCCCTTAACCTAAACATAAAATGGGCTGTGAGCAATTGTACGAGTGTAGTTCAAACTAGCATTCCAAGAATTCTCAAAATAAATTATAAGAAACCATATCACTGGAAGGAACATGCTCATCTATACAGATAGCACTACTCATTCCATAAGACTACTTAGGGATAGTATTAGAATGTCATAAAGCTTTGTATAAAGAATCCATCAACAATATGGTCACCTTAAGATGCATTAAAGGTCACGCCATATCGAAAGATAACCAGCTTACTGATTCACTAGCCAAAAAAACCCCCAACCAAATACTTTTTGGACATACCTCTTTTATTGGACTGAAAATAAAGATCATAACAAGATAAGGGAAGGTAGATTTTAGTCGGAATCTTCCACAATTACTAATAATAAGGGCCGGTCTTTTCACCTTCAGATAAAGTTCCAGATAACTAACTTCTGGATATATATGTAGCTACCTGTATATCCATCAGTGAAGAATTTTATCAGGAATTTCATAAGATAATATTATCATTCAGAAGTTAGGTTTATCCAGAAGTGAAAAGTTTACTTTTTAAGTTACTTTGAAGATAAAAATTATCTGACACTTTATCTGACGGTGAAAAGGGCGTAAATGTAAAAATAACTATTACTATTTAAAGTTATTTTGAATATAGATAGTTTTTTTTTAAGATACAATGGAGAAGAAAGGAACATGGATAATCCTGAAAAGCAAGCAAATTAAGCACAAGAGGAATACAAGAAATAAGTAAACCGTAAAATATATTAGAAAATGATAGATTTGAAAACGGATACCCAAAAAACAAACCTGCTTTCGTCTCATCCATAAATAACATGACGTCAGTATCGGATAAGGCTTTGGTCGTGGGAGCCGTCGGATTGTCTGTCAATGGAGTTCCCGGACCAGGAGTGTTGACTTCCGTTCTCGAACCCTGATTGTCCATTCTGTTTTTGGATTTCCTCCTCTTCAGCACCGACGCCTTTTTCGCCACCTGTAATATTAGGGACTGACCCAACGTATGGATATTCAACACCAATACATCAAACACTGCATCTAAAACTAAGCAGTGGAGCGCCCAAGACAAATTTTTACCAAAAGAAACTAATCATAAAGAAATATTGTTTAGATTATAAAAATATCGTATAAAATCATGATATAGTGCAGAAAAATTGTGTACTTCTAAATTAAAAATTAAAGACACAAGTGGATAAAAGTGACATGTCACAATAGTAGTTTGTGCAACAAGAGTGGATATGATGGCCATATCGCACGAGGACGAAATTTGAGCACGACGCTGTAGGCGGATGGCTCAATCGACTGAGTACGATGTGGACAATCCACTCGAGTTGTACAGTATATTTTTTCTACGACCCACTAACAAAAATTTACTAATAAAAAATATTTACTGTTATTTAAAAAAACTGATTACATGACTACGTCATTATGCTGTGACGTAATGTCATAAGATGGCTCTTATAAAATAAAAATTGATATGTTTTAGAATTTTTTTCAGAAGGTAATTTTTTAAATAATATATGTATTCCATACAACACTCTGTAAAAAGAGTGATAAATATGATTCGATAAACAGTGATGAAAAGAGAATAAGTAAAGTAAAGAAAAAGATGTAAAATGTATAGCAGCAATACCTAATAAATTCAAAATAAAACTGCAATTTAATGGTTATTTTTTTTTATAAAACATACAAGTTATTTACTTTCATGTTGTTTTACTACTTTCTGGTGTAACTTTCCAAATATAATTGTCAATAAATAAAACTTCAATTCCCAATTCCCAAAAGAATAAAACTTTTAAACTTCGGGAGTAACCATGTACTTGTAATCTTGTTTGGAAAAAGTTCATGTAGCAGTAAAAAAACACTTTTCAACAATTTGCAAGAAGACTTTTAAGTTTTTGTAATATATTATTTAAAGAATTCAGTAGGTAACCGTAATCCTAAACCTTTTCTATCCCAGTATTAATAAAAAACAAAAATTCTTATTAAAGTCCCTAAGGTTTCACAGAATTATTATTTAATCACAAACGGTTTAAAGTTTTCTTATAACCTCATCGTCAAGTTACTTTATTCGATTTTTGTAAAACATCCGTTTGAATTATTTTTTTATCGACACGTTCCTAATTGAAATGAAGGAACTTACCCCCCTCCCTCTTTTGTTTGTCTTTTTTCAGACTATTACTTTATGATGAGGTTATTAAAGATTAAGAAAACCTCGAAACCCGTCGTGATTAAATAAGTCTGTGAGAGCTTAAGGACCTAGTTTTACTTCTTTCCCTTTAGAAATTCTTATTTATTTATTTATTTATTTGTTACACCACCCAACAGTAATCACCATTTACTGGGTGGGAAAGACAAGAAAACATTAAAATATAAATACAAATACAAAATTGTTAAAAAGCTATACAATACAATGTAAACATCCAGAAAAAAAACTGACCGAACACAGGATAAAAAGAAATGGTTGTCTACATTGCATTACATGCTGTACATCATTTTTTTTTTACATTTACAAAGAAAAAACATTTTTAATCATATGTTTTTTACATGCAAAAATGTCCAAGCTGTCTTGAATTTCATGATATTTCTGAATAGATTGGTACATTGGAGATGAGTTTAAAACATTAGTTCTAGAAGCAGGCATGTAGAAACTCAAGTAAACTCTTAATCCAGCACGGGGGATTTTTAGATTGACGTAATTTAACAAATCAATACTGTCGACTGAGCCATTTAAAAGATTATAAAGTAGGAGTACCTGTTGGAAATTTCTGCGTATCACGAGCTCTGAAAGATTGAATCTAGATATTAGTAAAGCGTGGGGATATCCCCTTGCAGGGTATATACCATCTAAAACATAGGAAGCCGATTTCATGAATTTTCTTTGTTATGTTGGACAGTGGGAAAAAATACTAATCTCTCTCAATAAATGGATTTTAAACACGCATTGTGCGTTAGCTAATCTAAAGATTCAACGTGTGGATGATGATGTCAATAAATTTATCAAGTAACTATAATATTAGGAGAGAAATATTTAAAAAAATATACTAATATAGTAATCAATTTTTGTATTTCATCTACCTGTCCAAATTCATTATTTCAAAATAATTAGAAATTTTAATTATTCTAAGATCAATTCAAAATAATCATACTAAGCTAAATAATAAAATACTTTTCTTTTTTCGGCATCTTATAAAGGTGGAATACAAAATGAAAACTCCCTGGGGCCATTACACCGAATTAAATCATCCATTTTTGATGCTTTTCAGTCTTTCACGATACAATTTGAAAAAAATGTACGTTATGCAAAACAGAAAGCTTAACGTCGTTTTTTTGGAAGATTGAAAATTAAAAATACATTGTATGCGTATGTAAGAACAAACAAAAGTTAATAAATGTTATACCTGACTTGGAAATGTATTTTAAAAACATATGTAAAACTGCCAGTAATATTTTCGAAGTATATTGGCCAGTACTGGGGGTACATGAGCTTGGGGCAAACTTAGACAACCAATATCTTTTGGAGAAGGTGTGATTTTGTGAATTAATGAGTCAACGACTTATTGAAGATCCAGGTTTTTAAGTCAACAGTCTTGAATGCGCCAAGAATTATAAATTGTAACGGGATCTCCTCGTTTGGCTGTAAAGAAATTGTAGGTATTTGGCCAAAATACCAATAAAGGATAACTAGCGTTTATTGAAAATAAAATTGATACACCAAGAACTTAATTAAAATTCAAAGTGACATTTTTTGGTATCTGACACAAATATATTGTTTCATTTTTCAATGTTTTAGTAAAGCCTAAATGTCTGTTTCTTTCTTCAATCCTAAACGTTTCAAAAGAGGCATGTGGAAGTTCTTTCGTTAAAATATATGGCTCCTGCTCATGGGAGAAACGTATTCTGGAAGTACTACACCTTCTTCAAATTTTTCGCGTAAAAAATGGTATTGTATATGTTTCGTGCGGCTATGGTACTCTAAATTCCGAATTCATTTTATTGCATTCTGATTGTCTACTTTCAAATAGCGTTGGTTTTCCTACATTTTCTGATATGTCCTCTAAAAGTTTTTGTAACCAAACTGCTTATTTTGTTGTTTGAGCTACAGCAACATGTTCAGAGTCAGTGGTACTAAGTGCAACACTAGATTGCTTCCTACTTGCCCATATTACACAAGCATTGCACATCTTAAAAACGTAGCCAGCGGTCGAGAATGTCTAGTTTGTGTGTCGTTGGCTTAATCAGCATCTGAAAAACCAATCAAACTTGGCAATTTTTGCTTTTTGTATTTTATGCTATAGTTCTAAGTTCCAATCAAATATTTAACCCTCTCATGCATTGAGTCCACTCTAGTGGACAGGTTCTTCTAACTCCTAAAAGTATATTTTATTTCATGAAACTTGTGCAAAATGCATGAAATCCCTTTGAGTGGACTCTAATAAAGTAACCACTACCGCCATCTACAATATTATTTTATATATAAACGTTTGTTTATGTTAGTGTGCATAAATCACCTGATCGCGATGGCCTCCCGTGAACTTCGTGAAATAAGTGTCAGTAGTTTCTATGGAAAAGCAAAAAAAAAGTAATAAAAATATTTTTTATATAGAATTATGTATTTTACACATTTCGGCTTTGTTATAATTTCAAAATAATTGAAAAAATGACTGAAAATACCATCTTGAAGTCATGTCCACTTGAGTGGACATCATGCAATATATAACTTAGAATTCCACTCTTGTGGCATGGTTTGTCATTATAATTTTTAGCGGGTTAGTGGGTTTCTTGTTCACATATTTTTTGTTATTGTCTTGTCAAAGGTTTACTATTTATTTAGGCATTTATTGCTTACCTACCTATATTATTTTGGTGACCATAGGATGAATATAAATTTTATTTTTTGACGTAATAGGTAGTCCTTCTTCTATGGGAAATTTTATTTTATTTCAGAAAGTTCTTTTTGCCGATGAAGACGACAATAGGGATGGAACACCTTTATGTTTACCAGAAAATGAGGAAGAATTCATAGGTATTCACAATGATGACATTATTTACGATTTACCTGATGGATCAGATTTGGAATCCGATTACAACGACGAAGAGACGTATTTGCTCGGACATGCAACCGCTGAAGACGAAATTGTTGAAAGTGACTTAGAAGAAATACAGCCAGAAAACAGTGACGAGGATATCAGTGAAGATGATATTCCATTAGCTCAGCGTATTTTGGCACTTTCATTGAAACGTAAAAACAAAAAGACGAGACCAAAAAAGACTGAGAAAAAAGACTGGAAATGGTGCAATAATGACAGCATGTATGGGCCAGCAACTTTGCCACAGTTTCGGGGAACAGAAAATATTCATGTTCAAGGAACCAATCCCATTGATTATTTTTTATCATTGTTCACCGCAGACATAATGGATGACATACTCTTTCAGACCAATTTATATGCTGGCCAAAACAATAAATTAAATTTTGGTTTCACAAAATATGAATTATATGATTTCTTGGGCATACATTTAGTAATGGCATACATCAGATATCCCAGAATATGGCTTTACTGGTCAAGTGATAATGGCCTGAGAATGGACTTGATTGCAGATGCTATGCCTGTTAATAGATTTGAATCTATTTTGAGATTTTTACATTTCGTAAATAATGATAATCTAAATCAAAATAATACGGACAAATTGCGAAAAATCCGACCATTTTTGGATACAATTCAAAAAAACATTTTAGCTGCCACAGATCCAGAGGAATACCAATCAGTTGATGAGCAAATTATTCCACTAAAAGGAAAATTAGGTATAAAGCAATACTTGCCAAAAAAAACCTAAAAAGTGGGGTGTCAAAGTTTGGGTAAGAGCTGGAATTAGTGGATATATGTATCGTTTTGAGGTTTACCAAGGAGCTTCGGGAGATAGAAGTCAAATTAGTAAACTTGGAGCGTGCGCTGACGTAGTTTTGCCTCTTACTGAGGACTTAGAGAGAAT